TCTCATCTGTTATATATAGGTTATTCTCCGAAATATTTTCGCTCTGACCGGATGAGACATTTCTGTCTTCATAGAAAGAAAAGCAAATATGCAGCACTATGATGACCTATTGAAATACCACTTGGGTGAGTTTGGTGCATTCCAGAAACGCACGTTTTTCTTACTCAGCCTGACTATCATTCCAATTGGCATGAAGGTAGCTTCTTTTGTTTTTATATTGGCGGAAACTGACCATTGGTGTAGGATTCCTGAATACGATGATCTTATCGAGCAATGTGAATACATTAACGCTACAACAGATTGTGACTTCTTTGTGAAAAGTATGACAATTCCGAAGGAGCATGTTAACGGTGCCTGTGACACCACATGGAGATTCAGCAGTTGTCTTAGATATGATATCAACACAAGTGATGTCATTGATTTGATTGACGCCTATGATAACCAAACGCTAGAGACACGGACATGTGGCAGCGGAATGGAATTTGATACAACCCAGTATTCATCCACGGTGATACAAGAGGCAAGAATCAATTTTCTTCTATTTTGTGTGAATTGTTTCTATATTGTATATTCCTTCTCTGTGATTTTGTTGAAACCAAAGTTTCTTCAAAACATTTGAAGATCGGATCATCCATACAACTATACCGTACAATGACCGTGCTTTATTGGAGTGCGGTGATAGTTTAAGTTAATGCCATATATTTGCAATATTATATGCATGTATGCGACTTCTATGTGCAGAATTGACAGATCACTTGACGAATATGATGACTGACTGACATAAAATATAAATCTCGTTTCCCGTTACAGTTTGGCTTCGTTTGTGACTGGTATTATCTGGGCCCTATTTCAACATCTCTATTTTTATTGGGTCCATTTCTTGGCACTGTATTCATCGGTTACATGGCAGACAAGTAAGTAATGTAAAATAAAAGCGGCATTTTTTGACCATCCGAGTTATTATTTTAAAAGCCACATACTTCAGAGAAAGTTTAAAAAGACTTGCACATAAATTAAAGAGAGGTGGTCGTCGCGCCACACATGCGCGAGATATGGGTCTCATATAAACAAAGATGGCGTCTTAGACTGCTGCGTAGACGAACGCGTACAAACTGAGACGTTACCAAGCTTTAACTATGTAATTTCTTTGGTAATTCGAAGATATAAAAAAGTGACAGGTGATAGTTAGTTCTCGCTAAAAACTCGTACTTGTAATTTCCATTAGAATCGTGCATTGGATTGTGGGAAAATCAATATATCAACACATAATGCAAATGTGCGGCGCGACGACCACCTCCATTTAATTTCTCCATACATATGACAAGCAGAGTTTGTGTATATAGCCAATGAGTTGCATTCGCACAATTTAAAAAATGAAAAGTGTGGACTTCTCATTCTTTCAAATCAACTAG